TCGCTTTTTATGTTAACTTTAATTTTGATTTTATATTTATAGAAGAAGGGGCAAACGAGCATGGGGCTCACCTGATGGTAAGTGTCGACAGCCGCTCATGAACAACCGCAACACCAGGGCAATTGCAAGGGCGTTGCAGGCTCTTGCAATTGCCCTTGTGCTGGTGTCAAAAAGGAATAGGCTCGTTTCTTACAGGTGCCTAAGTCGTATAGGTCCGAAAAATTGCCGGTGACATACGAACCTACAAAGCAGTCGTGCGCGAAATTAAGGTAAGCTTCGTTAACTATGACATTAGGACGTCAAACATCAGTCCCCCCAGTAATTGTGGATGCTGTAAACGTAGGAAATTAAGAAAAAGTTAAATTAAACGCCATAAAATCTGGTAAATTAGTTTCATTCCAAGTGTAGTATTCGATAAATATAAGAAACTGACTGCAACCCGCTCGCTTCGCTGGGCCCACGATAATATACGATAATAACGTAGATATAAAATATAAAGATATTTTTTTGATGACACTGTCGTCAAATTCGTTCTAAGTAGGCGTCTCCATTTTGGCGTTTCTCAAGAAAATATTTTTTCTCTACCGTTGGAGCTCGTATTATCGTCTCTATTTCGTTCCTATCAACTAGTTTTCACAGCTTTCTCTACCAGCTATCAAATTGAACTGAGTTTAATTAGCGTAGCGACGCCGTGTAGTTGCGGCGTAAAGACATCCACCACCCCACAACATGTCGTGGCCCTCGTAATAACCGACATAATGAAGAAGGAACTAAGCAAAGGAAAACAGATAGGCTGCAGTAAGTTGCTGGTAACAACTTAATATTAATATATAAAAAAATCGGTTGCTATTCCGCCTGCCAAGCGAAATAACTATGGCTAATACATATATATATATATATTTTTTTTTTTTTACTTATGTACCTTTAGTGTGCATCCACCTTTACCTCAGACTACAGAAGCGCCGCCATTTCTCCATACATCGCTTTAACCTCGAAAATTATCGAGTAGTGAATAATTCCAGCTAATTATACTTCATACGCGACCGGCAGACCGTTATAGGTACGTTAAGTTGGCTACCGCGGTTCATTGTGATACATTGGACGCACTATGACGACCGCCTGTTGCTACCAGCACTGTCCTAGCTAATACACGAATAGGCAAGTAGTGTAAAGTGACTGCCTCGTTGGTCTAGCGGTTGTAGTAGTGCGACTGCTGATCATTTGGTCCCGGGTTCAAATCCCGGGTCGGGCCCAATAATATCAGTTAGCTGCCCGGAATTAGGAAGTTGGCGGTGTCTCACCCCCGTGCCTCGGAAAGGACGTAAAGCCGTTGGTCTCTCTCTCTCCATTCGTGTCGCTTTACCGGACCATGAGAGTAAGAGAATAAAGAGTGCACCTGTGCTTGCGCATGCATACACTTGGGCACTATAATCCTGTCCTGCCCCGATAGCTAGTTTCCGTTGAGGCTGCACGCCGTGATCGAAATTCTTAGTGGATATTCTTACGTCGGCAGTACAAAGCAAAGCCGCAGATTTCTCAAATTTATATCGAACCCTTAACCGTGTAGTGGTGGTGTAAAAATCCCCATATAGTCCCGTAGGTTCTTCAGAAGCGATACAGGGAAACAAAATAAGATATGGGCAACAGCGTCTTTCTAAAAACAACTAAAAACAAAAATAACACTTCGGTTGCCAACCCGTCTGCCAAGCGTGGCAACTATGATAAATATCCCCCTACGAGCCAATCTGTGGGGTAGGCCGAAGTTCAGGGAACTTTTGATAGGTCATAACGGCAAATATCGGATCCTTGTCGATCCAGAGCCAACGTATAAGATCTTCGTTGCAAAGGTCGCTCACAGTCGCTACGCACCGTTACGGTTACGGCGGGGTATTTGGGTCGCCTCCAACGCACTATGCGACAGGGTGTGGTCTTACTTATAGCGGGTAAACTCTTGTCATCGACAAATATTCTACAGTAGTGTAAATACACCAAGGTCTGCTGGTACTTACTACGAATGGCGGGAAAAATAGTTCATTTTAGATGAGATGCACCAATCGTTTACTTTAAGTAAAATACAGCTCCTAAACTTTTTTTTTGAAAGAATAAGGGTGACAAGCGCGCACACCACAGTCCACCTGATGTCAAGTGGATGTTGTGGCCCATAGACATCAACATTTATCTTCAATTAAGAATCATAACGCAGATGCGTTGTCACCTCTGAGGACTAAGATGCAATGCTTCGTTTCCAGTAAAAAAGGGTTTCCGGATCTCTACACTTACCATACAAAACACAGCAGTAATAAGCTGCTATTTTACGCCGGTATTCTGTGAGCGCGTAGTCTCTCCCGGATCGAATCGACCTATTCATGCTACAACCGGTGGGTTGCTCTACTTTTTTTTTTTTGCTTTTTTCCCGGTTTTGGGTTTTCCGTGCACAGGGATATGACTCTTTCCCCGTTCTCCAAATTGTCCAGGTTTATTCCAAGTAGGATAGTATTTGCGTTACAGCCTATTAAAGTCCACTGCTGAACTTAGTTCTCCCCCCTAGATTGCCTCATAAGGCGGATATTTGCCACAGTTCCCACGCTTGGCAAGCGGTTTGGCAACCGAAGCTACATTTTCATTTTTAGTAAAGATTTTAGGATAACTTTTCTGCCCATCTCTTGGTATGTAGTATTGGCGTAAATTTATGAAATCATGACTACGACTAAAACCAGACATAAACTTAATGAATATTTTGGTTTTGATGTCTTTTTGTTTCCATAAAATTTATTTTCGAAATGCTAATTTTCGGATGGTTACAAGTTCCAATGTTTGTTAAAGGGAAATTAATCTTTTATATTTTTTTAAAAGTTACACAAGGATTTTCTCCTGTATCATGGATGGAGTTAATATACATTAATTACGCAAGGAAAAACATCATCATGCAAGAACAAATACTTGCTCCGAGCGAGATTCCAACCCGCGGCCCCCAGCACTGCGACGCAACTTAGCGCTACCGCACCACGTAGCCGTCAAATCTTTTATTGGCCCGTTTCAAAATGAGCTTAGCTTGTGAGATAAATAATTGTGCCTCCGCAATCCGTAGACCAGACCGTATTCTGTTGAAGCAAATAAAAATTATAAACATTCAAGGTTTAACTTCTGTACGGTATTATTTTGGTAATACGAGTACATACGAATGACAGCAAACAATTAAAATTCGCGCCATAAGTGTTAGCAATGTTTGAGAACGATGGCAGGTTTAACCGTGCCTGCGACAGCTACTCCGTAGTAAGTTGGTAATAATTCAGTATATGGTAATGTAGATAAAACTAGTCTCATGGCCCCGCGAGCGTTTATGACTCGGACTAGCGGTGAAGAACAGTAATCTAGGATGTGACGTGAACGCGACATATCGGCCACAGAATGTGTCGGGTTTTATACGCGTGTGTGACGAGCCTTATGCCGCTTCATTTAACGAGTTTTTTTTTTAAATTATTAAGCCAGTTCTTGACCACAACCTTACCTTACCTTACCTGGCGATAAATGGTAGATGGTAAATCGCACTACTCGTATTTAGCGTAACAAAAGTCTATTCACTCTTACCTTGATGACGTCCAGATTGTATTCGCACGGAAAAACACGCCGGCAAATTATTTTAATTCTTTGCAGTACGCACAAAAGATGAAGCAAACCGTTTGGTTCTAATGCGTGTGTGCCATCTATGGGCTGTGTAAATCTTTACTGCAAATATTCAAAAAACTCACATGTGAGAGGTTAGGGTTCACCAAGATCGCCTCATTTACAGTTTCTAATATACAGTCACTTAGGGAATACCTTAATAAAAAGTAATACGATAATATCCGATCCGGAATTTGGTAGCCTAAATTATCATCAAAATCTATGTTTCGAGATGTGAATTTCGCCGCCGCAGTAAAACATAATGATGGGTTCTGACCAAATCATTCATGCTCTCAAAAATAAGGCGTATACAACTTGCTTACTCTATGCCCGAATTTTGAAAACGGAACACCAATACGACAGGTCACGCATAAAGTTTATAATAGTTTTTTTTTGTAAGAGGCAATGGCCAGTTATGATTTACATAAAAAATATTCTGATTTCAAATTTTCCTCCACATGATTTACGACCTTGATTTATATAGTTACCTCTACCACGTTTCACTAAAAAAATGGACTTACGTCGGAAACACTGTCGCGCGAAGAGTACGAACCCTTTAATAGACGTCAATGGTATTTATGGATAAAGGCCCTTCTAAAGCAATCGTGTACCGTTGGTATAACAAACGTGAGCGCGGTCGACTAACTTTAAAAGATACTTTGACGGCTTTTAGTGAAGAAATCGTGTTATCAGTGAAAGATTTTGATGAAGAGAACAGGCGTATTACGCCGGAAATCGAAGCTCCGTGGGTTACTTGCTTCATCATGACAAGGTGCCCGCGCGCTATAACTCAATACGTGGTACTTCCTGGACAGCACACCGGTTAAAATTTTGGGTCACCCTTCTGTAAGGAGCCCCGATTTAGCACATTGTTTGACTTCTTTTTACTCCCTATAATTGAAAATATTACCAGAAGGGGATACAGTTTTCTTTGCCGGAATATGTGCTAGCAGTGTTCAGACAAGTAATAGAAAAGGTATCTGAAGCGGACTGGAAAGAATGTTTCGTAGGTATATGGATGTAAAGGAGGCGAGTGAGGTGTGGCAGGGTGCTAAATGGATGTCCGTAGTCTCTGCCTAACCCTCTGGGGGACAAGCGTGAGTGTTTATGTAGGTTTATTTTATATAACCCTCTTAGAAATAAGAGAAAGTATGTGCCCAGTAATGAGACAGATATAGCAAGGACTAGTAATTGGAGACAAGACGCGGTATCAAATGTGAGAGAGACATTTGATTCTAAGGCACTTCGCACGTTAATATGGGATATCCTCCGGCTACGAGATGGACTCATGTCTTTACGTGACTGTTGAGGCTTCAGAATGAGTATAATAAGAAAAATTACAAACCATTTAATATAATCTCCGTATCGGCGTACCTGTAAATAAAACGAAAACCAATTAATTCCATTTCTACAGAAGTGTCTACGGTCAAAGGCAACCTTTTTGCGTGTCTCAGTTCACGAACAGTTAAAAACTTAACGAGCAAAAACTATACCTACTACAAGAAAACGGGAGCGGGTCAGTCGTGTCACTAGCTAGCCGACAGGGATGTACAAATTACAAAAAGTATCGATAACTATTTTTTAAGAATTTTAGCAATGTTGTGTATAAATGAGAGGTAAAACTTATATAAAAAAATAGCAGCTCCCGAAACAAAAACAGCTGATGATCTTCGCAACACACTCATCACTGCCACAGACACACAAATATAGACACACGCAAAAAACTTATAACACCCGTCTGTTTACATCAGGGTTTAAAAACAGACTATAAGACATTCAAAGCTTTGACAAGGCGAAAAATAAAAACAAATTAGTACAGGTGTCCAAGGGTACTTGTTCGCTCGATCTTTAAGCTTCACTGACCATACCTTCGTAAGTAGCCTAATAACTATCAGACTGGCAAAGATAAAGTATTTCATTCAGTTTTGTAACTTTATAGGCATGGCATAAAAAGTATTACAAGCGTCTTTCAATTATTTTGAATACTGTATTTTATAGTAATTTTTAGATAGGCTTGCTAAGGAAGCCCGGAACTCACCAGTTCTTTTTCACAATATACTGATTTTGACATAGAAACTTAAATATGGTTAATACAAGGTTATGTAATTTTACATATTATGGCGAAATACTCATCTTTGAGTATTTCGCCATAGTGTTTAATAGTGTTCTACGCAATTTGAATATGTCGTTAAGTCTCCTGGTGCTACAGTCACATTGACTTTAAGAGATAGAGATAGTACGAGACTTAACGACATCTTAAAATAGAGAAGCATTTGAGAGTTTGGGCATCAAACCTATGGATGGTCTCCCTGACGACGTCCCGACAAAATAAAATTCCAATTTAGATTAACGAATGTTTATAATAATCCAATATGCTTAGAAAACTCAATCAGATATTTTTTTATTATTATAAACCATTGCTTAACTACTATCCCATCCAATACTAAGTGGTGATGCGGTCAAAGACGTCGATATCGAAGACTAATAAAAGCCTATTTATTCTAGTTGCTCCGCTAATTTTTATTTCAAAAGCATTATATCATTGACACAAAGGAATAAATAACTTACACTATTTAAAAATCGATATATTAAAATCTACACATTGACAACACTACTTCGTTCCAGTTATCAATTCAGATTAATTGATATAACAAGATTGAACGTTCGCAGCCATACATCACACGAAATCAGATCGTCACGCCTCTCTTTCGACCGTCGTAAAACAAAAAGAGATGAATGCAGTACGCTGTCGGTGTCAGTGATAGATTAAGCGAAATTTTAGTAGCATTCCTGTCATACCAGTTAACTAGACGTCATGTCACCGACTGATTTAAATATAACGTACAATTTAAAGTAAGGTAACACTAGTTTGTAACCTGTGTCTACCATACTGATACTGAAGTTAAAAGTTAAATTTACATCATACATATAATAGTCTACGTCCCACTGCTGTGCACAGGCTATCTCTCATCTCTGAGAGGGTTTAGGGCAAGGCAGTGTCCGCCGCGCTGCATCAGAGCCGCGGTAGCTCAGGTGGTCAGCGCTCGCTGTAAATTTCACAGTACGCGTGCAACTCTGATTCGATCCCCGCCGGCACCTATAAATTGTTAATTTCGCATTTTAAGTGTTGATTTTACCAAACCCTCGGCGGTGAAGGAATTATTAATACGTATGCGTCATAGAAATTTGACTCTACTCACGAAAGAAGACTTCTTTCGTGAAAAATCGGCGCCAGTCTTCGCGAAATTTAACGCAAGATATTGGTGTATTATGGAGTCGACCCGGTCATACCCATGCTTATATCGGTTTGTGCAAGGGCTCTACAGGCGGATGTTATGTGTTGTATGTTTTCAGGGTTAGAGTGGCAATGTCTGCAAGTATCAGTGGGGAGGTTAGGTGCATTAGTTGTCCTAATTCCAAACTTTAGATTTTAGTTCGATATTTTCCGCCTAACTTATTTAAAAAAAAATTGAATCAAGTTTAAACCTAATGTAGTACTAATTACATGCTTTTTGTAATAAGCGGGGTATAGTTTAAGGTAAAAAACTTTTAAAAATGTATTTAAATATCATATTTGGTTTTAAGCACAGAAGGACTACTTCATACGACCAGAATCTGTACCACCAGTGTATATATTGAATAAATAAGTAAGTAACCACCGGAACTAAAACCTACAGAGTAAAAGTAACACATTGACTGCTTCGTAGCGCAGTGGCTAAGCAATGAGGGCCGCGGGTTCGGGTCCTGTACAGTACAAGTATTAGTATGGCCTATAAATAATTGTTACGAGTCCGATTGTTTGTCCTTGTGCAATTTATGTTTGTAAATTGCCTCCACGAAACATATAAAAATCCTTGTGCGTTTAAAAAAAAAGAGAAGTAAGTAAGTATTACGATGTCTTATATTTACCCGTAAACTACAGAAGTAAGCAAAATGTAAATTGATCTTGCTTAGCAGTCAGAAATTAAAAACTGATAATTCATTATCATGGTGTAGTGGTGGTGTAAGAATATCCACTACCACATGTCATCCCGTGGGTGTCGTAAGAGGCGACAGAGGGCAACAAGATATGGGCTTTACACACAGACCATCCCTGGGTAGTCTGTGGCTTTACGTGGTAGAGCCATGATGCAGTTATACTAGTAGTATAGTTGTAGCACGAATGGGTCGGCTCGACTGGGGAAGGACCACGTTCCCACAGAATTCAACGCATGACAACGTGTGACAACGCATCTGCATTTTGATTCGTAATCGAGGATAGATGTAGATGTCTGTGGGCCACAGCAACCACTTGCCATGAGGTGGACTGTGTGCTCGCTCGTCACCCTATCCGATATATTAAAAAAAGGGCAGCAGCATCTTACCAATAACTTAAAATTCTTAAAAAAAGCCGGCCTTCCAAACGTGGCAGCAACGATGGCAAAATCTTAATAACGAGGCACTCTATATCCTATATTTTGTAGTTAACTGTTACAGGTTTTAATGGATAAATAGATGGATCTCCGTATTTTAGTTGAAGGCTATGAGAAAAGCCAAAGCATATTTCTGTAAATGCATCAATTATCGAGGTAACTGTGTAATCTGGCGCTAGATCCTAGATAGTAGGAGATGTTATCTTTGTTTCTAATTTCGATTGCTCGTGGGAAGCTGCGCTTCGACCTTGCTTACTTACATAATAACATTATTATTACAGTTTTTTTTTTGCTTTTAATTCACAGCTAAAGATTTTAAGATTATGATACGATATATAATCATGTTAACGTCTTTTAATGCCTTCAATGTAAAAACGAAAAGGAGTTCTTCTACAGTTCCCATCATAACGCTTTAGCTATAGTCACTACACTAGGCACGCAAACTTATATCGTGAGAGCCATATATGTATGTAGATTATTTGAATTAAAAAAATTTCTTGCCCCCCTGATTTTTATCATCATCATAATCATTACAGCCTATCACAAGTCTACTGTTGAACATAAACCTCAAGAGTGTACATGTGTTGTCATCCTTGAGAACTAAGATGGAATGATGAATGTTGTTTCCAGAAAAAAGAGTCTCCTGCAATTTTACGCTGGTACTCTGTTAGAATTAACATCCCGTTTTATAAACAACCAGGAATAAAACCCCGGCCGAACCGAACTATTTGAGCTACAACCATAATATTGATACAGCTTGACTCTTCCACTTAAAAAACTTTGCCTTTCACAAGGAATGCCACAAAGCACGATCCTTGGCCACCTGCATCCATGAGCTTCCTGCATCACTCAATTCGTTTACTGGTACGAGGCTGCCACTCGAGAAGCTTTCTTTACCTTTTTATTTTTAATCTTTAAATATTAAATATGTATTAATATTTATAGTTCATAAAAGATAGCTTGACCTCTGCGACAGCTGTCAGTAAAAATCACGCCTATGAAGTCCTGAATTTCTTAGTGCATAAAGTGCCTATGTCATGCATTACGCGCATGCGGCATGCGCGTAAGCTTGGTTCCTGCGGAGCGACAGGAACCAAGCTTACGCGCCGATATTTTAGGTAATTTCTTTTTACAGTGAAAATAATGATATTTTAAAAAAAGTAAATAACATAAGCACTGCTTTATAGTTAGTTCAGTTAGTATACAAAGTTTCATGATCTTATTTAAAGTATTTTATGAATAACAGCGGTTTATTGTTCAGTTTGGAGGTAACTTTGGATTTTTTTTTCTATTGAGAAAATTTTACGGAATCGTGTTTTCGTCTAACATAAACCTTAACATTAATCCTCAACTTTACCATATATTTATTTCAAAATTAATGCTGCAATACTTTCGGCATAACGGAGGATCTTGCTAAGCAATTTGAGGTTATATTTCCCCTTAAAGCCCTTAAAAATACCACATATAAAGTATATTTCCCCAGCGTCGCGTCTACGTTTAATTGCATCTAGTGTGTCTCAACACTGCGTTTCATACCTTCACCATACTGCGTTGAATTACTTTATCATATATTACAACAGATTATTCGAGGCACGTACAAGCTTGCGGCACGGTTAGCGTAATAGTGCCTGCTCCGGGAGTCGACCCACAAACGAGAAGACGCGATACAAACCCGCGACTATTAAGCCAATTACGAAGTGGCGGCTGGCTCCGACAAAAACCCGACAATCGCACACGCTATGTATGCTAGTAGGTTGCCATTTCAGCTAAAAATACGGGATATGTTGATAAGCGTATGATTTAATCACAGCCACTGCTAGAAGAATGTCTGAGGTACTTAAAAAAATGAAATATTTTTTTATAGGATAGGGTGATAAACGAGCACGCAGTTCACCTGATACGGGCTTATAGACATTTACATCTATCCTCGATTACGAATCAAAATGCAGATGCGTTGTCACC